AAAGATAAGCACAAAAACATATTTTTTGTTTCTAGTTTCTAAATTCACAAAACGGAATCGTTGAAATTATTGAAGACTTCTTTTGTTCTCCAAACTGTGGTTGCATTCCAAAGTGCTGACATTTCGAATCCTTTTAGAAAATATTTCACATATTAATATAAAATAAAAGCATACACACCTACATCCCGTTTCTAGTTTCTAAATTCATCATACGGATTTGTCAAAATTATTGAAGTTCCAGATAAGAAAGTTGAAGTCTTTGGTATCTCCAAGAAGAGGACTTCGCACCCAGCTAATGATATAGTATAACCAAATGGTACAAGAGCGGGCAATTATAAACTTAGGCCTTGCATACAAATAGGAAGAGATGATCGAATTATTTAATAGGCGCAAGGACAATTAAAATGATGAATAATAGGACAGGTTGGTCCTTCGGGGAACGGACATTTCGGAGGTCAGATCATTTACCTGCGACATCCCAGAGGACCTCAGACTGGACGGAATAAATCTTGAGATTCACCCTTAGAATTCTTCAATTTATTCTACCATCGCCTTTTGATTAAGAAAAATACAATTTTTAATTAGTAAAAAAAAGGATGAATTATTTGTAAAAACAAATAAAACATCCCAAAGCGTTTTCCCCGTTTGGATTTCCATCATTTTTCCATTCTAACTTTTATAATACCCAGTTTATAACGAACCACGGAAAATTTGAGGGACTTTTAGCAATAATTAGGGAGGTTGAGGACTCTAGCTGTCACTGTGACAAGGAAATTCAGGACGCGAGACACCTACTGCTGGAATGCCCACTCTTCTTTAGCGCTAGACAACAGACAGTAAATAATGTTGGAGATCTATATCAATTTGTAAATAGCAGAGAGAATTATCATAGATTTAACTATTTTTGTAAACATATTTATGATTATCTTTCTAACCTGGAAGGATCAGGTTCCTAATATATAATTGTTTTTATTATTATTTTTTTTTTGAATAATGTGTTTATTATTGCTTCTGTTTAGAAATGTAAATCGACGCAATTATCCCTAGACGGGATAATTTGTGTGTTAAAATAAAATAGTGAAATTAATTATAACTTATAGTAAGCCTCTTAGATAACTAAATAGCCAAGAAATGTTTGATGCTTCAAATACTACGACTGCCAGAACTTTACAGAAGTGAGACATCGATTGTTCCCTGATCTAAATGATTTAATTCTCTTACATCAGCCACTTTGTCTATATAAATTTTATGAACTCTGTCGATTAATACATGTAAATTTGTAAATATTTAATTCTAAGCCCTGATTTGTTTAGTGTTTTGTTTGTTTCCTCTGTAATAGGCGCAAATATTTCATTATCGCACTTGGTTGATCAATAAATAAATAAATAATGCTTCAAATGCTACAGAAAATTGTTATAATATTAGATGAATTGAAGATCTCCATCCGTAGTATAATGTTTCTTTATCAGTTTTTATTTTATGAATTCAAACTTTCTACCCTTTGCGCCTTTAAACGGGATTACTACAATAACTACATTTCCACCTATAAATCTATTAAAAGAGAGAAAAATGCTATAAAGTATAAATGTAAAAAATGTGAACGATTGCAATGCGTTTGTTTATTCGTAAAAATCTTTGCAAGCTTTCGGATCTTTACAATCCTTCCACAGGCATAGCTTTAAGCTGAGAAAATGAGTATATATCTCTATATGAAAAAACAATAGAAAAAAATAAAAGATAAGTGGGTCAGGTGTTGATATTAAAAATAGAGAAGGCATCTCCTGACCACGAGCACATGTGCTTTTTAGATGGCAGAGCGCCATCTAGTGGAGCAAAAATAAACTAAACGTTTATTTAGCTTGCTCCGTGATATTTGGCCAACCCAAGTTCGTGGATGGCTTTTCTTGATTTATCAAGAAATTGGGTTGGCCAAATATCACGGAGCAAGATAAATAAACGTTTAGTTTATTTTTGCTCCACTAGATGGCGCTCTGCCATCTAAAAAGCACATGTGCTCGTGGTCAGGAGATACCTTCTTTATTTTTAATATCTCTATATATTCTAGTATATATACTCATTCTCTCAGCTTAAAGCCTGTGGAAGGATTGTAAAGATCCGAAAGCTTGTAAAGATTTTTACGAATAAAGAAACGCATTGCTATCGTTTACATTTTTTGCATTTATATATCTATTCAGCTAGAGTGTTACTACCGTTAAAGGGCTGATAAACCTGTAAGCTTTAGTTGAAGTAATAAGAAAACGTTTAAAGAAACTTATCCCTGGATAGATTTTCTATTTATTTAATTGAGAAAAGAGGATTGATATATATTATTGTATAAAATAAAAGGATTTAAAAGCGCGAATGTTTCTTTTATACATAAAACGAACTTCTACTGTCCTTACTGCGATGAAAAAATATATTTTGGGAGGGCTTGGCTCATCAGTGGTGAACCCTCCCAGCGGTTTCGCCAATTTAATCCACCAGACCGCTTCTCAGAGCTCTAATACTGTATTGGATCATTCTGCTTTTATATGCTACACTGAAGGATGGAATCTTAGAAATGGTTTTCAAGTAAACTATGGACATAAGCTTATAGGACAGTAGAATTACATTCAAATATTTGCTTCGAGCAATGCTCTTCAGCAAACTATAAAGACAAAGCCAGTTAGGCATAAATTAACACAAAGCAATAACGCGCCATCTATATATATAAAATAAAAGGATTTAAAAGCGCGAATGTTTCTTTTATACATAAAACGAACTTCTACTGTCCTTACTGCGATGAAAAAATATATATTTTTTTATATATATAGATGGCGCGTTATTGCTTTGTGTGAATATATTATTGTCGTAATATTGTTTATTATTGTTTAACATTTAATATTGGTTAAGATGGCAAAACACAGCTCGAAGGGCTATATTAGAGATAAATGATACATTCATACTTTTATTCTTGTTAAACGAATTATACTATGTTTTCTCCTGTAGATGGGCGTTCGTGCCTCTAATATAGAGATTAAAAGGTTTTTTTGAAAATATACTTTTCTATGGAGGCGAGATATTTTTACTCAATTCTTGTTAAATATTTTATTTTTGGAACAACATCACAATATTCCCACAAAGCTTTTAGTAAAGCAATTTAATTTTATGAACGATCCTCCTGGATATAAAAATTTACCATTATAATCAGCGCTTCGCAAAATCTACCTCCGTTGAGTACTGTACAAAAGAACGTCTTAATGATTCTGTACTTTGATATTTAAACTTAATATCTGAATTATCGCTGAAATATTTTCATACTGTTGGGGTTTATTCTATTTTTAATCTATGTATTCATTATTCTGTTTATATTTTTAATTTAATTTGACCACGGACGTCTGGTCACGTGTGTATTTAGAGATGTATAAATTGTGATGGAAAATAAAGTAAAGTGGAGTAGTCACCAGTTAGTAGTGTCAGTCTCATCCTTGTGAGTTGGTAAAATTACTCCCGTGTGCGAGGTACCGCATCCTCCAAAGAACAGAGCCTCCCTCATCCAGTGGTCGCCGGCAGTCGGATCTTCCCTCAGAGAAAACAAAGAATACAGTCCTCTAAAGACGGCGGAGTGAGGTATAACGGGTTAGTGCCTTTCAAGTGGAACACCTCCTCCAGCCAAGGTTAAACAATACTTTATGTTTAGATAGAGATTTTAATTCCTATATATAAAATAAAAGAGGCATATCCTGACCAGACTCACATGAACATTTATAGATGGCAGAGCGCCATATATATAAAATATAATACTAATTTTATTTTCAGACTTAAGTCTGGTCATCTACAGACAACGACCTTCTAGAATGGTTGCAAGGTTTTCCCATTATGTACTAAGTTCAATTCTCAACCTGCAACCCCAAACCACAATATTAACTGCATTGGCTCATCCATTGATGAGCTCTACTCATCCCCAACATACACCATCAAAAGTCTCAACCTCTACAAGCTTGATACCCTGATATGATTGAGTGGAGATAATAAAGACGAAGAAGATATAATGCAAATATGTTTTAAAGATGCTTGAAATATTCAAGTTTTTTTTATGTACCTCTTATAGATAATGTACATTCTATGTAGAAAGAGAGATACGTGGAATATAGGATTAATCATCAAAGCTATCAAAACATTTATTTTCTGGATTTTTAATTGATCGTGTGCTAAAAAAATCAATCTACCTAGAAACAAATAGAATTTAAAGAATAAGTATCATAGTCCAGATACCATCAGGTTGTCCCAAAAGTTCGTAAACACTTGCAAAAAATTGAAATACCAATATTATTCGACGTTATGTATAATGGTATTATGTATAAAGTAATTATATTATTATGTATTCGCCGTAATGATATTTTTCGCCAAGTAATAAGAAAAACAACGTTTAAAAAACGAACTTTTGGGACAACCTTATAGATCTAGAAACATTTCAGTAAATCTATTAAAGCTATTTATCAAATTGTAAAGCTATAATGTTGAGATTGCATGGCCTAATTGTAAAACTAGCCGAATGACCCGGGTTTTACCCGATTAAATGCTTTTATTCAAATACTATTCGTTACAATTATAAATAATCGGTGGAAGGCTGGTTAAACCGTTTGGTTTTCGACCACTAGGACCCGGGTTCGATTCCCGCATTGGACACTTTTTTCTGTTAAAAAAAAAAAAATTGCTCCAATGGCCCCCGATTCTTGCAAAAGTCCAACCCCCACCAGCGAGTGCAAGTAACCAAACGGGGCTCTGGCATTTGTAAGTGCAAAGTCGAACTGCTTTTCACATGTGTAGACATGTGGTGCGCTTACAGTAAAAAGCAGTCGCTAACTACCCACCATGATTATCATGGCCTGTACCACGTGTACTAGGGATAAGCAAAAAAATAAATAAATAAATAAATAAATTGGCGCCGTGGATGTCATTCTTGTATAATAAATAAATGAGTTTTAAAAATTGTAAAAAAAAAATAATAATGATAATAATGCATCGGCCGGGAATCGAACCCACGTGTGGCAGGCGAGCATTCTACCACTGAACCACCGATGGTTATGAGAAATGGTCATATTTGGGTATTTATTCCATTCACAAAAGCAAACGGTGACAGAATTGATTATTAAGAATTGTTGCTTGATGACTCTGATATCTGTATATATTAATTTTTTAATACTTTTGTCAAAAATTTCCTTTTAACTTCAAAATTTTCATTAAGATAGATTAAAATCGAAGGATTATTTTCTGTTATAATTATATTTTTATTATGCAGTTCAATTTAAAACATAAATATCTCACAACAATAAAAATTATTTTATTAGCATTTCGTTCTAATTTGTCAGAAAGTTGGTATCGTGATATATTGACAAATTTGGTATTTCGCGCTCTGTTCAGCGATCATTTAGAAATTGCACTGTTTTTAACGGATTTTTTTCATATATGAAACAATATCTCCATGTGTTTTCATTTAGTAAATTCTGTAGTTGTCAAGTAATTCTATCGTTTAGTTCACGGAGGATTTCAGAAAGTCTGTTGTGATGGTCTTGGAGGAAGTCACAGGTCCATTTAAGACGGAGATCTGCGCAGAAATGATCCCCGCACAGCTGGGCCTCGAGACGATCCAAGCGGGCTGCAGTGCCGGTCACTAGACGAGCCGCGTTCACGGCGAACAGCGCTAGCAGGACCTTGCCCAGCATCATGAATAGAGAGATGTTAGCCGGCACCTGGTCACCTTGTCACCTTTTGTCACCTCTACATTCGACATTTTATCGACTTCCATCACTTTCTAATGATAAATTTAGTACTAAAATTTACTATTTTCATATCTTTAATAAGAAAATTCTGTAGTATTAGAAAAGTATGGGAATTCTGTACAAAAGGCATCCTTTTCAATCAAAATTTAAAAGCGATTGCAATATTTGGGATCTGGTGACACTTGATGTCAATCCATATTTGTCAACTAGAACCCGACAAGAATATGACAATAAGCAAATATGAAATTTTTAAAAATCCAACTTTGAAAAGTTCAATTTCATGCAATGTTGTTGTTGTCGTGTCCAATGTAGAGCCTCAGATGTCTCCGTACATCTCTATCACAGCAGTCGTAATGTTCTCTATCAGATACAGTACACATTACAGAAACACAACAGATTACAATATTCTTCATTTATGCATTAAAATAATATAAGTTTATATTTATATGTTTATGCTAAGCCCTTCCTTTCTTTCCCCCCTTTATTTGATACACTGTAAATAGCATTGCTGATTACTGGTATTATCACTGTTATTTTAGCATGCACCTTACATTTCTGCTGGAAAAATCAGAATAAGACTAAAATGTCTTAATAAAGATTGTAGTTGTATATATGCATTAATAAAAAGATAGAATAATCTCCATGATATTCATGCTGATTACTGGTACAATTAATGTTATTAAAACAGCATGTGCCTTACATTTCTGCTTGAAGAGACAATCTATATAAGACCAAATGTCTTAATAAAGATTGTAGTTGTTGTATATATTCATTAAAAAAGATAGAATACTCTCCATGATATTCATGCTGATTACTGGTACAATTAATGTTATTAAAACAGCATGTGCCTTACATTTCTGCTTGAAGAGAGAATCTATATAAGACCAAATGTCTTAATAAAGATTGTAGTTGTTGTATATATTCATTAAAAAAGATAGAATACTCTCCATGATATTCATGCTGATTACTGGTACAATTAATGTTATTAAAACGGCATGTGCCTTACATTTCTGCTTGAAGAGAGAATCTATATAAGACCAAAATGTCTTAATAAAGATTGTAGTTGTTGTATATATGCATTAGAAAAGAAAGAATAATCTCCATGATATTCATGCTGATTACTGGTACTATTACTGTTATTAATACAGCATCTGTCCTACATTTCTGCTTGAAGAGAGAATCTGTATGATACTAAAATGTCTTAATAAAGATTGTAGTTGTTGTATATATGCATTAAATAAGATAGAATACTCTCCATGCTGATTACTGGTACTACTACTGTTATTAATACAGCGTGTGCCCTACATTTCTTCTTGAAGAGATAATCGGTATAAGACCAAAATGTCTTAATAAAGATTGTAGTTGTTGTATATATGCATTAGAAAAGAATGAATACTCTCCATAATATTCATGCTGATTACTGGTACTATTAATGTTATTAATACAGCATCTGTCCTACATTTCTGCTTTTGAAGAGAGAATCTGTATAATACTAAAATGTCTCAATAAAGATTTTTGTTGTTGTATATATGCATTAAATAAGATAGAATACTCTCCATGCTGATTACTGGTGCTATTATTTTTATTCCAGCATGTGCCCTACATTTCTACTGGAATAATATGTATAAGCCCAAAATGTCTTAATAAAGATTTTTGTTGTTGTATATATGCATTAAAAAAAGAAAGAATAGCTCCATATTCGATGTTTCCCCTTACTTTCTCCGTCCCAGAGCTGCCGGAGATGAAGAGGGCTACAATCCGCGTAGGTGTAAGTGAACAAACTGGTCTTGTAAATTATGTCTCTCTGTCGCAAGGAGAGGACAGCTGTGGTGGACACAATTAGCAAGCCGGGTAGGGTGTGGTGCTGCAGTGTCATTGGTACCCAATCGTGTCAAGGTGGCTCGGGCAGGCATTCCATTGATTCCAACTTAAAATCCTTTCTTCCTATAAGATATTACACCTATCCCCCGATTTACACGGTACTTGTTTTACACGTTGTCGCTTTTACACGGTTTTCCAAATAAGTTTTTTTTTGTTTTTATCGCACTATACTAAATGCTACTGTGATTGAACACATGCGCTGTGTACACATCTCACGAGGAATCCCGAGCTTATGTGCTGACTTGCAGCACATGCACACTGTGTCTTTATTTCTAATTAAAAAAATAATAATTTTCGATTTACACGTTTTTCTCAGGAACGTATCTACCGTGTAAATCGGGGGATAGGTGTATTGTCAATACCATCTCTCTATACATTTATATAATATACCCTTTGTTTTAGAGAGATGGTTCAAAATGGCATCAGATAATAATAAACATAATCGATCAAACACATTCCAATCTTTTTTTTTCCAGTTAGGAAATTGAATACTCCCCCCTGTCCGACAGGATAGGATAGGCTAAATATAGGATAGATTATATATATATACACACACACATAAGCCTTTTTATTGGGGCATCCAGCCCTATGCATGATTCCCCTTTACGGGATTTAGGAAAGGAAGATATTTCAAAAGTAAAAACTAGAATACAAGAAGTAATAAGGAAAGAGAGAAGAAAGAAAAGATAGATTATATATATATATATATATATTCTTTTACTAAAAAAATATCTCACTCCATAGAGTGTAGTTTAATAAAAGAGGTTAAGGAATATAAAAAAGATACTCTTCTCCCCTTCGTTCTTATGCTTTCAGTTATTTTGTACAGGCCATGAAGCAGTCTGCTGAACAACCCGGGTAGTTGGCGCTCAACTCCCCAAGAGAGAGAGAACCCTGGTTTCGAATATAGTTTCTCTCTCTTTTATTATTATTATTAATATTATTAGAGGAAGACCACTAGGAAGGTGAACATGGAACACCCGAGATAATCATGAAACACAGGGCTACCACGACCACAGAAGAGATCCAGGAGAACGACCTAGAGAAGATGACTGGAGACCTGACAGGCAAGAATGGATCAAGGCCAAGGGACCATTTTATCGAGGAGCCATCAGTAGAGGCCATAGAAAGACTGTTTGAAAGCTGCAGGACATCAGGGAACCATATCTGCGAGGCCCAGAGCACTGACCAGGAGTCAAGCTAACAAATATCTTTGTTTTCTTTTACAGTTACTATTTCGAAGTTGTAAACAAGAATATGAAAATATTAAATAGTTATAAAACGAAGAGAATTTTTTTTATTAAAATGCATGGGCTACAAGCTTTCGGGCTTCACGCCCTTCGACGGGTACAACATTCCCAATATGTTGTACCCGTCGAAGGGCGTGAAGCCCGAAAGCTTGTAGCCCATGCATTTTAATAAAATATTTTCTCTTCGTTTTATAACTATTTACAATTCTATAAGAGAAATTTTCATGATTCATGTTAAAATATGAAAATATACTACCATTTGATACATATTTAGAGAAAAAACTTGTAACTCTTTTCAAAAATAAAGTTATTATATATATTACTAGCCGAATGACCCGGGCAACGCCCGGGTTTTACCCGATTAAATGCTTTTATTCAAATAATATTCGTTACAATTATAAATTGGCACCGTGGATGTCACTTTTGTGCAACGTCCCGCTCCAAACTTTGTGTCTGAGAAGCGATATTTTTATAGAAAGATGAACTAGCTTTTGTTTTCTGCTCGAATGAATGTTTTTCTGTTAGAATTTTGTTCCTGCGTACAAAATAATGAACTGGTTTCACCCGTGGTCTCTGCTTTTTGGAATTTTTCCCGATATAATTATGTATCTAATAATCAAACATGATACAGCAATATCGTCATCATCATTTTCTGACTAAAAATATATAGTTTTAATAATTGATTTATAATTTTTTTAAAATAGCCTATCGTCTTCCCCGTATTTTCTTTACCTATGTATGGAAATTTTGGTTTGAATTAGTGAACTACTGCGAATTTGTATACCGGACATACAAACCAACAAACAAACAGACAAACATACAAACATTCATTTATATATATATAGAAGATATTTCTCTATAATATTCATTTCAACAGAAAAGAATAATGAACCTCAGGACAAGTACCATGAAAAAGAATAAATGGAAGTTGTGGTGTATTTAGGTTGATTTAAAAGTAGAAATAGATTTTAGGCTTTATTTATTTGAATGATTTTTATTATATTACACCGTATTAGATGCAAACTCAATAATTACAAGTCAACAATAGAATGATGATGATAAGTTATATATTACGATATATACAATATATCACAGAATAATAATCTGTGGATTTGATATTATTATAATATAAATATACGACAGAAGCCATGGATCGATTACTGGAACGATG